CAAGCAAAACAGGAAGTAAAAGCAGCCCCACAGAACCATGGGGAAACCAGAAAAAAGAATTAAAGGAGGGTTATTGTGTGAATAAACAAAATTTGACTTTCACACTAGAGTAAATGTGTAATTACAATAATATAAAAAATGCATTTTCACTAAAATCCTGAAAGTAAAAATATCTGGAATAACACCACTTTCTGACCACTTTAATAGCAGTTTTTGTGTGATGCCATGTGAAATCATTGTGCGTAATTACACAGTTTTTGGGGGATTTGTATGGGATAAACTATAGATTTCCCCTGTGTGATAAAGTCCATAGTTTATGTGTAGCTCTGCCCAGGTCTCCATGAAAGGACTGGTGGCTATCTTCCCCTGCAAACGTAACATACCAGAGAAAGGCTGAACAGATTTTGTCATCCTATTTCTAGACAAAAATGACAGTGATCAGGCAGATGCAAAGGGAAGGAATATTCAATTCTATAAAAGAAAAACAAATATTAAACTCCTTTCAAAACTGGACTTTAGCTCCAAAGCATGCTCACCGCTATTTTAAAAATCTTACGTTTGGTTCCATTTAATTTTTTTTTCTTATTTAGGTTTGGAAAATAGTTCAGCAACTTTGAACCAGAATGTCCAACTTTGAACTTTAAGCTGGGTAAGGTATTTGTATACAGAAATATAGGGTCCAGATCAAGAGAAGTAATAGTATCACTCTATAGTGGCATACTTCACCTGGAATTCTATGTCTAGTTCTGACCACTACAGTCAATTTGGAAGAGGTCCAGAGATTGGTGATCAATATGCTAAATGGTCCAGAAAGCAAGGCCTATGTGGAGTGACTTAGGACGTTATCACACGAGGGGAATCTGTAGGTTATCCCACACAAATCCCCCAAAAAAACGCACTTGTGCCTAATGATTTCACACGACGTCACACAGAAACTGGACAGAAAGTGGTATTATCCGAGATCTTTTTAATTTCTGGAGTTTAGAGGAAATGCATTTGCGAAATTACAGTAATTGTGCATTTACTTTAATCTGAAAAGCAAATACACACGGACAATTCTCTTTTAAAACCTGGAGGAGGGCCAAGAGGAGGAGGAGGAGGGGGGCCTCCAGGGAGGGAGAGTCCCAGGCTCCTCCTCAGTGCCATGCAGGGAAGGGAAGGGAAGGCAGCCAAAGAGAGGGAAGTTTGGGATGGAGGAGAAGTTTGGCATTTGGGATGGAGGGGAAAGGAGCGGAAAGAAGGCTTCCCTCACAGCAGCTGTGTGTGGATGTGGGTGCAAGTGTGGGGCATACTTGTGGAGCAACTTGGAGATCCATCTCACCATGACGTTCTGCCCTGCATGTCCTACAAAGGGAAAAGGCTTATGGGGGGGCATGGGAGTTACCTCCAGTTTCCCCCTCTCCTGGGC